CAGCGCCCGTCCGCCCTTCCCCGGGGCCAGCCCCTGCCTCTCTCTAGCTCCCCACCCGCCAGGACCCCGAACAGCCCCACCCGCGCCCCCAGCGCGCTGATTCCCGTCCCCAAACCGGTCTTGCAGGTCCCAGGAAGGTGGCGTCAGCATCTGCAACCGCGTCGACGTTGTCGGAGCCTCCGCGGAGGACCCAGGAGAACCGGACTAGGGCCAGGGCCCTGGGCCTCCCCACACTCCCTATGGAGAAGCCGGCGGCCTCCACAGAGCCCCAAGGGCCTCGGCCGGTCCTGGGCCGTGAGAGTGTCCAGGTGCCCGATGACCAAGACTTTCGCAGCTTCCGGTCAGAGTGTGAGGCCGAGGTGGGCTGGAACCTGACCTACAGCAAAGCTGGGGTGTCTGTCTGGGTGCAGGCCGTGGAGATGGATCGGACGCTGCACAAGATCAAGGTAGGGTTGCCCACTATCACTTCTGCCTCCACTGCACCCTTACTGCCTCTCTTCCGGAGTCTCCTGGTCCTCTCTCTGGGCTAGACACCTGACTATGTATCTGGGCCCAGAGAGAGTCTCCTGCCAGGGACCGGGAGGAGGCCAAGCCCCATCACACAGATGGGCCAACCGAGGCCTGGAGAGCAGGAGTGACTCAACCTGCCTCTCTCAGCTGGAACCCAGGCTTCTGCATGCCCCTGCCTGCTCCAGGGAGCTGGGCTGCTGCCAGGCCCTTCTAGGAGAGTGGTCTCCCTCAGGGACCCCTCTGCTTGGGAAGCCTGCACCTGGTTCCTGACTTGAGTTATCCAGTTGGGAGACTGGGCCCTTCTCTCCCTGATTCCTGGTTCTCTCAGCCTGAACTGGGTCTCCTTCCCTGCTTTTTGCACCCTGGGGTGCCCAGGACCTGAGTCCTTCCTGCCTGATGCCCTGCTCTTGCTCTTTCCCTTCCCTCCCTCCGTGGCTGCTCCCTCAGTCTTCTGCAGGGACTCAGGATTGTGGCTGGCAGATCCTGAAGGCAGGACTCTGATACCCCTGCCTTGCACAGAGCCAGGCTGCAGGTGGGCTGGGGGAGGAAGGGGCCTGGGGTCAAGGGAAGCCAACATAGGGAGCAGTTGCAGACACATCAGTCGCTCACAACCATCTCCCCTGCTCCTCCCAACCCCACAATTCTCTCTTTGCCTTGCAGGGCAGGCTTGAGGTTTGGGACCTTGGGAACCCACCTCCCCCAGAGGACCAGATGGGGGGTGGTGGTGAAGACTGTGGTTTAAGGGCCTCAATAGCTGCCCCCAATACATCTGGTGTTGCTGTGGGTGCTGCATTTCCAGGGCTCTTAGGTCTCCCTGCAGTGGGCTTTGGCAGTAGGCTGTGCCCTTCGCCTCCCTCTTCCTTGCCTTCTCCCTTCTGCTATCCTCCTGGAAATGTGGAGGAGTCCACCCTCCCCTTCTGCCTAGTCTCAGACTTAGCTCAGGCATGTATCTTGGCCTCTTACCAAGGCCTGAGATGTCTGACCTTTCCCCTCTGACCCTAAGCCCTTCTGCCTCACTTTGTCTTAGTCATTTACATATACTTCTGTCCTTCCCCACAGGATTATCTGCTTCTCACTTTCTGCCTCCCCTTCTCTTCTCTGACTCTGTCTGCACCTTGGCCATCTGACTGTCTTTCCCTCTGGGTTTCCATGTGTGTCTCCCACTTTGGGATTCGCTGCCCAGGGCCAGAGGACCTTGACCTGTGTCTGAGCCTGAGGAGCAGGGAAGGGGAAGGCAGTTGGCGTGTCCCCACTGGTTGTTCCCTGAGAGCAGGGACAGGTCCTATCCTCTTTTTTTTTTTTTTTTGAGAAGCCTCACTCTGTCGCCCAGGCTGAAGTGCAGTAGCAAGATCTCAGCTCACTGCAACCTCCACCTCCCAGGTTCAAGTGATTCTTCTGCCTCAGCCTCCTGAGTAGCTGGGACTGCTAGTGCACACCACCACACTCAGCGAATTTTTGTATTTGTAGTAGAGATGGGGTTTCACCATATTGGCCAGGCTGGTCTTGAACTCCTGACCTCAAGTGATCCACCCACCTCAGCCTCTCAGGTCCTGTCCTCTTTGCGTCCCCAGCATCCAACACAGTTAGAGCAGGGATATTGGTGGAAGAGAGAGGGAAGGAAAGAACGAAGGGACAAATTGAATGAAAGGTGAGAAGAGAATTCACAAGAGCCTGACTGTGACCTGGGAAAGCCTTCAGGTGGGCAGTGCACACTGGGGGAGAAGTGTAGTTTCCCTACCAAGCTGGCACTCCAGAAAGTCAGGGGAGGAGGGGTCTGAACTGAGGCCAGTACTCCCACCCTCTGTGTCAATAGGGCAGAGCTACCTCCTCCATCTGGCTTGGTTAATGAACAAACCCTGCCCAGCCCAGGCCTGGAATTGGTGGGTCTGGGGCCCAGGCTGACTGCAACAGACCACTCGTGGCCAGAACAGGCTTGTCAGGTGGCCTTCCTTGTGGGTGGCGGAGACTTGGAAAAACTGGGGTGTTATAGGCTTCTGGACAGGCATACACCCTCCTGGGCAGCCAGGACCCTACCCTCCTTTTCTTTCAGACTGAACAGATGTTGGAGGTGCTAAAGGGCCCTTAGTAATCCCTATGTCATACCCTTCCTGCCCCTGGATGCAGGTGAGGATATTGGGGCTCAGAGAGGGGCAGGGACCTGCCTAGAGTCACACAGCTATCTCAGCAGAGCTGGGTCTGGAACCCAGATCTACAGCATCTTGGCTAGTGCTCCTTCCTTGCTTCTCCTTGCAGGCTGCCTCCCCAGCTTTGCTCCCCACAATGGAGAGAGGGTGGGGAGAGGAGGTGAGCAGAGCCCAGACCCAGGAAGGAGGCTGGGACCCTGGTTATGGGCACCCCAAGGTGCCAGCTCCCCACTCCTCATCCTCTCAGCACAGCTAGTTGGAGCTCTAGGAGAGATGGACAGAGGCCTGTGATCTTCCCCATCCCCAAGATTCCAGGACTCCCAGGTTCCATGCAGATAATCCCATTTCTGATAAATGAGAGCCCCTGCTCTGAGCCAAGCATTTCTCCCCCTCATCTAATTTGCCCTGAGGCTAGCCTGGGGCAGTAGTAGTCTTGTCTGCATGTTACAAACAAAGAAACTGAGGCTGAGCGAGGTAATGTTGTTTGCCTAAGGTCATGCCACAGCTGAGGCAAGAGTGGAACCATGCCAGCCTGGCTCCAGAGCCCCTGCCCCTCTCCGCATGGGCTCGCATCTTAGTCAACACTGTGGCCTTTAACCCCATCCATAACTCTTTGAAGGCCTGGAGGACGCCGTGTTCTTATCATCTTATTCTTGTTTGATGGATGAGAAAGCCGAGGCCCACAAAGGGGAGTGGCTTGCCAAGGTCACCCAGCAGGTCTGGAGCCAGAATCCCTGGGGATGACTGGGTCACTCCAGGAGGCTGGGACTCAACTACAGGTGTTTGCTGAACTTCTGCCCCCCTTTCCCCCTCCCCTCTCCTGCCCCAGCCTGCTCTGGACCTGTCCCCAGAGCTGGGAAAGCCAGCTGCCCCCTGGACATGCCCAGTGCTCCTGATCCCAGGGTGGGGGTGGGACTCCATCTAGCTATCTACCTGATTCGTTTCCTCCTCCTCATCTCCCTTGCCCTTCCCCGGGTCCAGAGGTCCCTGGCAGCCACTGTGGCTCAGGGCCCAGTAGTTGGAGCCAGGACAAAGGGAAAGGGGCTGTTGGAGGCCACCTCCACCCCTTCCCTCCCTCCTGGCCTCCAGCCTGACCGGGCCCCAGGGCTGCACTGTGCTCTGAATACTGGAGAGGAGGCAGATACCACCTCCTGAGAGTTCAGACCCTGTCCCAGGGACAGATGCTGAACATGGATCCTGGGTACAAGGCAGGAGGCAGCTTGGAGGCTGAACTCAGGTCTCTCAAAGCCCAGGTTAGCTTCCCCATGGCACCTGTATTAGTGTGAGAAACGGGAGACCAAGAGCTTCTGTCAGTCATTCAACCAGGGCCAGCTGGGGTCCAGTCCTGGCTGTTGCATGTGACCTTGGGCACATTCCTGCCCCTCTCTGGGCTGCTTGCCCATCTGTGCAATTGGTCCCTCTTGGCTCCAAGAGTCTCTGAACTCAGCACCCGGGCTGGGGCCCTGGGGGAGAGATTAGGAGCAGGCAGACAGCAGAGGACGTGGCCTGTGAGGCCCTGGCCTGGGTACACACACGCTGTGTTCTCCTGAGGCCTGCCGCGTGAGAGGCAGGGGAGACCTGCGTATCTCCTCAGTGGTCTTCAGACCCTGGTGAAGAGAGGACAGACAGTTCCAGGTGACCTTCCACCCACTGCACAGGCAGCCTGGGGGCAGGAATGAGGCCTGAGAGGAGCCTGGGCCCATGACAGGAGAGACCTGACCCTGGAGCAGGTGTGGGAGGGGGTGTGGCTGAGAGCCTGAGGCTCTGCTGGCCGCAGGAAGCTGGGCAGTGGGGACCTGTCTCCTCTGACTTCCTGTCCTGCTGCTCCTCCCCTTCCCCTTTGGGAAAAGCTCTGGTGGCCCGTCCCAGCCCTGTCTCACTGTCCACCTACCCCACACCACAGGCCACCTGGGTTCCAGACTTCAAAGCCAGTGCTCAGCTCGTGACCCCTCAGCACCTCACCCTCTCACCTGGTGAAATGCCAGATGGCTCAGGGGTCTCCAAGGCCCTTTCCACCCTTACCAGTCTCAGGGACTCAAAAGGGTCATGGGGAAGGTGGGGTCAGGGCTGTGTGTGGGACAGGTCTCCTTAATCCCATCAAGCAGATGTGGAAACTGAGGCTCAAGGCAGGTTCACTTGTGCACAGCCAAACAGCCAGACATGGCTGAAGCTAGATCAGGACCTAGGTCCTTGACTCGCCAAGGCTGAGATCTCGCAACTCCCTTGGACCGGATTATTAACGTGATTGGACTCATGGGTCTCCCTGTGCTGTGTCACTGTGGGAGGGCACCTTAGAGGGGACCCAGCTGGGCAAGAGTCCAGTGCTCACTGTGTGACTTTGGGGGTCATTTCACCTTTCTGGGTCAGTCTTCTTATTGGCAGTGGCAGGGGCACGAGTTCATCTGGTTTTAGGGCCTTGGACTGGGTCAGTTCAGGCTCTAGCTTGGCTCTGCCTGCTATGGGGCACAGTTTCCCCGTACAGGAAGTTGCTGGGCAGGTGGTCTGTAGAGGCTGTGCTAACCTTAGGGGAGGCTGCCCTGCTGGAGACAGAGTGAGGATGGTGGCTGAGGTCTTGCCAGTCTGTGCCATCAGAGAGGTCCCTAGAAGGGGATCCTGAATCCGGGGTTAGGCCCTGAGCTGCCTGGTTCCAGCTCCGACTTGGCATGGGGGGAACTGGAAGAAGTAGTTCCAGAGCTGTCCTCAGGGAACAGGCTCCCAGAGAGCATGACCCCAGTTAGTTAGTGTCTAGACTTTGGGTTGGAGGTGCCCAGAGAAGGGAAAGATCAGAGGTG